ATATGCGAATTGGATTGGAGGTGAGTTGTTTTTGTGCTGATACTGTGATTTTTATGCATTTTTACACATATGCAAATGCAAAAACGCATATTGACAAGAGACTGTCTATGTATGTGTGTTTGTGTGTTCGCACTTTTTGTCACCCACTTTCAACTCGAGAATCAGAAAGCTTGAAGGCTGAAACTTCGCGAGCATGTGCCTACCCCATGTGCAACCCTCCCTTTTTGATATCATCACCCGCATACGCCTAGGAGCCGCACACGGAGCGCTTAAAAAAATATGCAAATTTTTTGGCGGGAAAGCAATCCCGGGAACCAGAAAGGATAGAGCACTGAAACTTTGCAGGGGTATTTTCTGTACATGTGTGAGTTAAAGGGGGATTTTAAATCCACCCCCTGGATGCACATCTAATGTCCTCACACACTAGCACTTAAAAGTTTTAGCAGGAGAATTACGCACTGAGCAGCTAGGCCATTTTCAAAGAACGACTGTTAAGCGGGAATTGTTCACTTCTCTTATGCAAAATTCACAGTGGTTTAGGCTAGTGAAAGCAGAAAGTGGATGTAAAGCAACAACCATTCATGCAATTTACGACCTGATTACTTCATGTCCAGTGCAAAAACGCATGATCGCACCGGCAAGCCTGGTACATTCCAGCCTGGTAGTCTCAACATGCAAGGCGAGATGGCACACTGAGGACATCATTAACTGATTAAGACCTTACTAATTGCTACTTTCTGAAGAATCGTGAAGTTGGTATTCCCTTTAGGGGAAGAAAAGAAAGTCAGATTCTTGAGCAGGTGACGCAGTGTTGGCAGGACCAGTTGGAAATAGTAGAATGAGAGATAAGAGATTTTACTCCCAAATGTCATGTTTTTCGATAGATTATTTCTTTTCTCTAAAAAACTCTTCTCGAAGTTATCCTAAAAGTCTTGGCAGTACTGCTCCGGCACTGTCTGGGCACCAAATGCCTTTAGAAACTTCGGAAGGCAATTCTTCCAGAGATTTTTGGCTGAACAATAGTTTTTATGCGTTTTTTGCAGCAATGCAATGCGAAAAACGCATATTGACGAGAGTTTGTCTGTGTG